CAACTCCACTTGCAGATAGCTGAGTTTGCAGGGCTGGCTGTTAGAAAAAACACATTTCACATGTAAACTGAACAAGCTTGATACAGAAACATTAAAATAATAAACATAGTAGCCCACAATGTAATTTTTGTAGTCTCTTTCCAGAAGTAACATTCACAAATGAAAAGTAGACTGTCTATTGCAGGGGACACTTAATGAGGTTTTGCTCTATTTAAAAAACTGAGATGACAAGCCCCTGAATTTTAGTACACAGGTCAATCAAAACCAGATGCTCTATGTACAGTAACTATAGCTGTAACAGAAATTCAGAAAATAAGGGAATCTTTTTAAAAGCATGTTGCAGGAAGTTAAAAGTTCTACTTTCTCTGCACTGTTCGGAAATTATATCTCCGGGGATTGGGGGGGGAGGTTTGGGGTGTTTGTCTCTCTTTCTGGTTTCCATTTCTTTAATGTTTATTACAATGTATCTTATCAAATGTTTTGCAATACAGTGTTTCTTCTCTTTCCCAGAATGACCATTCTCCCTCCAGTAGAGAAGCTGAAGATTGTGCTGGAGAAAGTGAAAGACTTCCACATACAGTTTCTTGAAGAATATGCATGAAAGAGATGCGGACTCTCTTTCCCCCCCAAAAAGAAAATGCAGAACATGAACAATATGTGCTGAGAATGGGCTGTTCATCTAGTTAACTGCATTTACAATAGATAGAGCCCATATGTGGGTAAAACTTACACTTCTTCCCGAACAATTAAACCTAATGTCTGGTGTGGGAGATATTGCTATACAGAGGTGGGTGGGAGGGGGAACATGAAGAGGGAAGGTGAAGAGAGAGTCTTAGTAGACTATTTTGTGCCTTGATTGGAAGTTATATTCTTGACTTCCACTTCTGACCTAGTTGGTTGTGGAGGAAGTCACATATGAAAACTATTGATGATATCGCCTTCTACAAAGCAGATATGCAGATACCCAACATATTTGCTCAGAAACATCCATTTCCTGTTTGAGATTTTACCCCAAAAAATCCTAAAATCTACATTCTGGGTGTGGTTGGTTTGTTATTGTTTTTGAGTATAAAGTGTTACCCACATCTGATCAAACTGATCAAACAATGTTGTTAGAATGTTCATAAAAATCTTTGGCAGATCATTTTGTGTGACTAAGTTCTATTGCATCTGAACTTTACATTATTTCTAAATAAAATCTGGGTGGAGCACAGGCAGTTCTGAGGGCAGAAATAGTGCATACAACGTATTGTGTGTTGAGTCTTAGTTTAATAAATTGAAACTCAATGAATTATGACCACGAACTAGTTTATCCACACACAATTCAAGCTAGAGTAGACAAGTATGAGAGAACAATAGCATTTAGCTTTTCATCTCATAACCACTTTGTTAAAAAAATAAAAAAGCTGGAGTCTCCTGTTCACATATGCCATTTGTGTATATTGACTATTACAAGCAACCAACTTCAAAGCAAATGTGAACACGGTTAAGCCTTAATAATAAGGTCCAACACAAAAACTGTTAAAATTGCAGCACCTCTTGATCCTCTGAGAATGATTCTTTGGAACTGGATGATTAGGAGATTAGTTATGTGAGAAAGAGTCCTTCACTTTTCTGGTTACTGGTTTGAATCTAGCCCAACTCTAAAGACTGAAAGATGCTTCCATCAGACAAATATTTGTATGTAGCTTAAAGGAAATTAATTGGTGATTTCAGTCTTGTTTTTAGTGAAAATGTCTGGATCACACAAACTACTGTGTATGGCATCCTCAGCAGGGAAGGTAAAGGCTGAATGGACATGGAGGGTTGGACACTCTGTACTTGAGAGGGTTCTTCCAGAACAGGATGAGGTATGGTGGCACAACATTATGTACATGCTTGTACCACCTGTGCCATTCTTATTTTGTGGAGGAACAAAAAAGTTAGTCTTTAGGTAGGTTGTGCTGGCAAAAGGTGCCAAACTGACAAACACAGAATTGAAAACTCCCACTACCAATCATGGAGGTACCAAGTAACTTCAAGTTTTGTCTGAGTAATTTGTGCAGATCACTGTTTAGCGACAGCATCTCATTTATCCAAATCATTAATTTAGATCTCATTCTTTAGGAGTAAATTAGAAATCTTGTTTACTAACATCATTTTGTTAGTAATACCTGGCTCAGCATGTGGTAGTAATAAGGAAGTTAAAATGTTGGAAGGTGAATTAAGTACAGGGACAAGTGAATTAACACATTGGATAAAAGGATGCGTCAGTCTAGTGTGTTAAGGATAAAGATGATTATTGGCCATATCTCTTACAACAGCATCAACTGGCCTATAGAATAGTACTGGAACAGACTGCACTTAGAAACTATGAAAATATCAGAAGCATGCCCTATATGGAATGAATCAGTGGCTTCCTTTCAACTCCTAGTGGACAAATATCCAAAACACAACCTCAATTGAAAATGGTACATTGGGGAGCAGTGTTGTCATAGAGGCCTGGAGCTTGAACTAAACTTTTAACTTTGGAGACATGGGTCTCATCACATCAGTTGTATCTTTGGAAAGGCTGGGAAAGCTTGTGTTGCTGCTACCCATGGATAAACAGAACGCTTCATTTGCCAGCTCTGTGGCATCTTTCGTAAGCCCTAATATAACTCTATACAGAAATGTAAAAGTAAAAACATGTAATAAGAGGTCAAAACATTCACATTTAAAGAAAAAATAAAATTATCCAAGAAATTAATTTTTTTCTTGCTGTTGAAATTAGCGCCCAAGTCAAATCTGGTTTGGGGCTCACTGCTTGGAAGTGGCTGCCATAACCAACATGTAGCCTGAAAATTCTACAATCTAATCATGGACGTTGGTATATTTTTTTACACTTTTGTAACAGCAGCTTTTTTTCATGGAGTAGTATTTGTAGTCTAACAAACCAACAGATTTTATATTTACCTTGTGTTTACACCTGATATTCCTGAAAACAATCCAAGGTTTACAACATACTAGAGACATTCTATATGGGTGTTGAAAGCTGCTTTTTTCCCCCAGTCAGAGCAGCAATCCTTATAGGTAACTTTTAAATCAAGGATAGTGACCTAATTTTAGTTTTCTAAACATTATATGATGGTGCCTTTTATGTTTCTGACATTGTAAGGGAGAACATATGTTTTGTTTTGATGCATCGTCGGGGGGGGGGGGGGGTTTCTACTGTTCATCTACAATATTAGTATGTACTGTGGCAAGCTACAGTATCCACTTATGTTTTTGTGGAACATAACTGAAAAACTAAGAAACAAAGACTTACATTTTCATTGTCTTCAATGTTTAATAGACAATCTCTACTTTTTAATGCATGTTTCTAGGTTTCGTTTACCTACAGGTGCTTCTTAATACTGTATTTAGATTAACTTAGATGTATCCAAGACTTCATAACAATAAAATAGATGTCAGAGATGTGGTAGTATTTAATATTCTGGGTCATTTGAAATCAAATGTCCAGTTTGTATGGTGAAATATTTATTAACTCCATGGTCTCTCACTATAATAAATCATTTCATCAACATCATGTATGGTGGATTTCATACTTCCTCAGATACATCATTCAGTGCACTTGTCATAAACTTCAGTTAGCAAAGTTCCCTCTTTTCCATGCACAAAGAGCAGAATTTCACTCCTGTAGATGCCGTTAAGAATTAATTCAAAACTGAAGGGGGCTGATGTCAGAAAATGGTACTGAAGTCAATTGGCAGCATGCAAAATTGGGCCTATTGATAGAAGAAAAGAAATCTATACAATAATTAATTTTAAAAAAACCCTTAAGTACCTTTTTGAAATACAAGACCTGGGCTGCACTGTACTACATATGAAACTGAGAGCAGCAATTAATCTCTAGAGCTGTTCCTGGAGCCAGGGAAGAAAAGGGGGCTAGATCCTTGCAAGTCAGTAAAGGAATCCTACTACTTAAGCAAAAAGCCAGCCCTTATTTCCCTAAATACCTACATGTAAGCCAGCAAGCTATAAAGTCCTTGCCTATCATCCTCTATAGAAGCTCTTCAGGGAAATGTGGCAAGGGCTTTTAGAGCAGTAATTATGTTTATCATCTGTTTGTAGTGGGGTTAGCATAATACCATCCTGATTCTAATGAATGATTTACTGAATGAGCAATTTAAACCACATCAGTTAAAGAAATGGGGCATCCTAGTAACACTTACAAATTAACTATATGTAGTTAAGTGTTGATGCTGTAAAAGACAGAAAAAGTTCTCTGCCTTGTTCATGCAGTATAATGAGATAGACCTGGTGCATGAGAAGGAAATCCATCTTGGACCCTTTATTTGGATTCCTTTCTAAATCCCTGCTCCAAAGAGCTTAGAATCAAGCTGTTAAGAACATGGTATACTCCAGCCTGCTAAAATAAAACAAACAATTACCTATCTTCCTTTATTCTTGTGCTGAGTAAAGAGGAAGCTGCCCTTATTTCTGCAGTTTGAAGTCTATATTTGTAAGCTGATATTAAGTCAAAGAGAGTAGGAGGAAAAGGTCTGGCAAAAGAACTAGGTAAACAAATGTATTAATGGGACCATTGCCTGTGCCCCAAACTCATAACATTAAATAAACAAGTGTCCAATCACACACTCTTCTTTACAATATGTTTTCAGATTAAAAAATAAAGGTGAGGAGGGTTTATCCCTCCTACTCCTGGGGAGGTGGGTTGATTCCCAGTGTGATCCCTTCTCTGCCCAGGCAGGGGGTGCTCCACAGGGTGACCCCTCCTCGGTCCAGGCAGGCTCCTGACTCCTCCTCAGTCCAGGCAGGGGGCGCTCCCCTTGTGTGACCTCCTCCTCTCAGCCCAGACAGGGGGCGCTCCCCTTGTGTGACCCCTCCTCAGCCCAGGCAGGGGGCGCTCCCCTTGTGTGACCCCTCCTCTCGGCCCAGACAGGGGGCGCTCCCCAGGGTGACCCTTCCTCAGCCCAAGCAGGGGGCGCTCCCCTCGTGTGACCCCCTCCTCGGCCCAGGCAGGGGGCGCTCCCCTCGTGTGACCCCCTCCTCTCGGCCCAGACAGGGGGCGCTCCCCTTGTGTGACCCCTCCTCAGTCCAGGCAGGGGATGAGCGCAGTGCCGAGCCCCGTGGTCCCTGCGTGGGTGTGTCCCGCCGCCGCGGGGGAGGGGAAGGCCGCGGCTATAAGCGTTCCCCGGGCGGGCGGCTCTCACTCTTGCAGCTATGCCGCCGAAGAAGCACCTTGCCGCGGGCAAGAAGCGCAGCGCCGACTCCGGGGTGGAGACAGAGCGGGGCGCGCTGACCCAGGAGCAGAAGGACCAACAGATCAGCCTCTTCCTCAGGGGCTTCAACCAGCAGGGTGAGGAGCTGTCCCGCGCCGGCCCGGCCCCTCCCCGCCCCGCGGCTCCGGCCTGAGCAACGGGCAGCTTGGGGGGGCTGTCCCCAACGGGGCACTTGGGTTGGGGGCCGAGGCTGGTCGGCTGCCGTGTCCCGGGGGTGGTGGTTGCTGGGCTTTCTCCGTTCCAGGCCCGCGCATCTCCCGCTGTCCTGGGGGCGGTCGGTAAGTGAGCCTCCGTACGGAGGGGGCTCCCCGCCGAGGGGCTCCGGGGCGGCCGCTCTCCCGCCACGGACGGGCTGGCGCAGGGTCTGGGACTAAAGCTGCTCACCAGTTATTCGGCTTCCTGGGAGTTTGGTCACATCTGACACTTCCCCCGCCCCGCTGCAGGGCCAAACCGGAGCATGTGGCCTCCCCTCAGCAGAGTAACTCGGGGTGGGGGGGCGCCGGCCGGCCGGCCATGGCCCGCTCTGCAGAGTGAGCTGGGCGCTGTGAGGCACAATCACGGTTACTGCGGCTGGTCTCCTGATGCCAGTTGATTGGAAGTGTGACGGAGGAAGAGGGATATTTATCTCACACTTACCAAGTGCATCCTTGCTCTCGTGCTGGGATGCTCCCTGTGGTATTCGCACAGAGTGGCCCGCTTCCTATCCTCCCCTAAAAAGGGAGGCACATAGCTGAGAAAAACAGCACAACTTCTAGTTAGAAAATACTTCTTAAATGTTTGGTTTTGTTTTCTTTACAATCCCTTCCTAGATGTAGCTGGTGCCTTAGAAGGGGAAATGGAGAAACACTTGAAAGAAAAACACAGTGACAAATGGAAACTCATAATTAAAAAAAAAAGAACAAACATGTGGGCACCAGTAGATAAAGTCTGGATTTGTGCAAACAGGTTGTAGATAATGGGGTTAGCATCTTCATAGAATTCATGGATCAGTTCATGTTCTTAGGAATGTGGAAACTTTCTATCTGCATTTTCAACTTAAGCATTGGGGCACAGAACTACCCTGTACAACTCCTGTTGGGATGACTATTGTCTGCAGAACTAAAAAATACATGTATTTACATTTGATTTCTAACTACATAATCAATGTCTAGTTAAAAAAAAAAACTGCATGTGACATCAGTCCTGATATGTAAGCCTCCTATTGTCGTTATCAGAGGCAACAAGCTGACTTACTATAGTCTAAGGATTTCTAATGAAATTAGTTGAACTAGACTTCTTGGAACTATTCCATTAAAAATCAACAGAAGCCTTCTAATATTTACTGACCATCTGCACTGAAACCAATGGGAAATGGCTACTGAAGTCTACATTTGATCAGATCAGTCTGGCAATTCAAGCAGCTTGCAATACAACAATAAAGAAATATAGTTTTGGCAAATGCACAACTTACTAAATGTTAACTTTTGATATTGTAAACTGCCTGTCAAGGCACCTAATGACTAACCACCATTAGCCTTCAAAAGAGGCCAAACTACTAGTTTAAGTTTCTGAACAGCCATAGATTTGTTCAGCACCTTTGAAAAATCAACCCTTAGACTTTCTCCTAGGTATGACACTACAAATTGGTTTGCTAACTCATATGCAGGCAATGATAGCTTTATCATCCCTCTTTAAATAAAGAAATACACTTTATTTACCTGAAATGTTGTTAAACTTAACTTTTCTTCCCTCCACTTAATGGCTAATCTAGGACTTTTCTTTCTGAGAAAGTGTGTGTGTGTGTATGTATGTGTATATATATATATGTATGTATGTGTTATCCAGCTTGCCCAAGGTTACAAAGACAAACTGAAGCCAGATCTTCGTTATTTTATATATATATATATATATAAAA